AATTCCAAATAGTGAATATGAATTTCCGAAATCGGAAATATGAATTATTGAATTGATAAATTCCTGAAATGGAAATATCATTAAAAAAATGGAAAAATATGAATTCCTGAGTCGGAAAAATCGCTTCTTGTGACACTTGTGAGCTTTTCGTTTAAGTTCCACCGAAATCTCACGAGTTTCCTTGAATTTCATAAAATTTCTAACAACATGGGCATCGGCACTGACCTACTGACAGGGTCGGATGATTAGAGGCACGTAATGTTGCGCCTCGTTGATTCACTTCCGCTCCTCTGAGCTTCAGGTATAATATCCGTGTGCCAAGAGTGATACCAACCAACCATCGCGATACACGAGCTAATCACCACGGGGACTGATAAATTAACCTTGGCCCATATTTTCATGGTTATTTGCAATTTTATCTTTTTTTAATTTGCCATTTTTTATGTATCGGAAAATCGGCATTTTCTTTCCATTCAGTTTTTTAAATATTACATATTCAATACCGAATTTATGGTTTTTTTATTTATTTTTATGGATCGGCCAATTGAAATTTTTTTATTTAAACATTTATTCTATGAAAAATATTTCTTCGACATCTTTCTTAATAAATATCTCAAGACTGGTGAGAGATGATGAAATTTTCATAAATACCATTTTTTTAGCTCTCGTTTTTCTCTGCAAAAAAGGTACTCATAAAAATATCGCCATCTTCCTTCAATCCCGAGATTTCACCTAAAACCTGATTTTAAAAAAATGCACTTTTGCATTTATTCTGGAGTGCTCCATTACAGATGCAAAGTTACTCCCTAAACAGAATTTTAATCTCGACTTTAGTCTTCAGAACTCTTTTATAGGACATAAAACGTAATCCTCAAAGAGCTATTTTTATTAATAAACAACAAGGCGGTGTTCTACTGACGTAAAAAATCGTGTAGTCACTGCAATGAGACAGCAATAAGGAAGTCCCATTAACTTATCGTGAGAGAAAAAATGTAAAATCAATTTTGATAATGATTTCGTTCTACATATCTTCATGATTGAGATCATCGACCCTAGCATAGTCTGGAGAATACGTCTGTTAACCAGTAGTTTTGCCCTAATCGTCTCTGAATTCCAAGAAAGCGTCATCCGGATCTCTCGTATCCTTTCATACAAGATGCCGGTGATTTTTTTTTTCTTTTTTTTCATCAGCCATTCCCTTAAACATCATGTACGAGAGTGCAGTCCCCAGTCCTCGTGATGTCTCTCTGATGTTTCATCGAGTAACTCTTTCATTATTTTTTGCTTATTCTGGTTGACGACGATTTCCCCTGTGGCCTCTTCGTGTTTTATATTCTCTGGGATTGGAGAAGTGGAACGATCCACTGAAAAACAGATCTTGTTTTATTTTTATTTTTTATTTATTTCTTTTTTTTTTATATTTTTCTTCTTGTTTATTCATTGAGGGGAGGCAATTCAATTTGTACGGGAAAACCGCGTTTTTGGGCGAGTTTAATTATTGAGGGTTTTGTTTATTTGTTTAAATATAATTCTATTCTAATTCCCAAATCTATATAATTTATTTACACAGTCCAACTGTTGATTTCAAGGAGAAATTATATTAATCGAAATTTTAAAAGTGAATGATGATGAAAATAGTTTTTAACTTTTTAGTTTTTAATCTTCAGTCTTTTGGAACGGGTGAGCAATTTTGGGAATTCTGGGAATTTTTGGTGATGATGCCTTTGGAATTTTTAATTGTGGTTTTTAATTGTTAAGGCTGCTCTCTGCATGGAGAATTTTAAGGCGTGACAAAAATGCGGTTCGATGTTTTATTATACGAGCGTTAGACAATGCAGTGTTTCTTTATTCAAATGTGTGAAGCACTCGACCTTCGACTATTATGGTTTGTTGTACGTTTGTTACATCGATAAATAATTAACGAAGAAGTAAACAAAAGAAATATGAAGAAAATAAAAAATTCAAATAAAATAAAAAATAAAATATAAATCTAAAATAAAAAATAAAATAAAAATAAAATATAAATATAGATAAAAAATAAAATAAAATAAAATATAAATATAGATAAAAAATAAAATAAAATAAAATAAAACTAAAATAAAATAAAAAATGAAATAAAATAAAAAGTCAAAAATAGAAAATTTTGAAAATTTACTATTCAAGCAAATTTCATGACGATTGACTAAAATTTTTTTTCATCAATTTATTTAAACAACAATATTTATTCATAAAATCAAATGAAATATATTTATTGTCCATGGATATTACTCCAACTAATTAACGCATTCAAATATTAATTCGAAAATAAATTCCGTATAAATAAATAAATAAAAATAAATGAAAAATCGATTAGGACTTCGGGCTTGTGTTTTGTCAAGTCACTTCATCTCCATTTTTTTTTTTCCACAAAAGTTGTACGTTCAGATGAGAAGAGGGTGTAGACGAAGTGAAAATGCGTGTGACAAACTCGATGCAATGAACAGACAACAGCCGATACTGTCGAGTGCTTTCATCGATTAACGAATCCCTCAGACACGTACTGTCTCTGCCTCACTAATTTCTCGCTTTCCCTTTTTTATGCTCCTCTTTTTTTCTCGTCGGCGTTTGAAAAATTCGTCTCGATTCATTAATTTGGGGGAGTTGCAACGGGTTCAATGAGTTGAAGGTTTTTACAGCGAACAAGTGATAGGAGGAATATTCAAGTGCACGTGGGCATTAAAAAAAAAATATTAAATCGTTAAAGATGAATTAAATAAAACATGTAACATTGACAAAATTAAAAAAAAGAATGGAGTAAATGCATGCTTGATGGAATGCATTCCATATAGGGGAGATATTTTATTTTTTGCCAAAAAATTTTGGAGACGGTTTAAAAGTCTTCCAGTTTTTTTTGCAAATATATTTTTTTCTTTTTGTTTTACTGTTTTTCCCCACTTTTTTTATTTTTCAATTTTTTACGCCGTTTAACTTGAATCGCTCATTTTTTCCTTCTGTTTACAAGTCTTCCAGTTTTTTTTGCAAATATATTTTTTTCTTTTTGTTATACTGTTTTTTCCCCACTTTTTTTATTTTTCAATTTTTTACGCCGTTTAACTTGAATCGCTCATTTTTTCCTTCTGATCGTGAAATTTCTTATTTAAGAATTTAATATTTTTTAT